GACTCAGTTCCTCCTAAGGGGCAGAGGGAAAAAAGGCAGTAGACGGAGCGAGGTTAGGGGGGCGTGGCGTATGCGCTGGTTGGCGCGCAGGCCTCAACAACAACAACTCACAACATGTCGCTTCAGGGCGCGCTTGGCCTCCAGTACGCAACGATCCAGCAGCTGTCCCCAACAGGTGGAACCGTGTGAAGCAGCAGTGATGGCCCGAGTTCTAAGACTGTCCGCATTTTTCGGCGGTGCGGCGTTCTTAGCGGCATTCTGTTGCTGTTGTTCCTGCAGCTGTGTCAGAACCAGCACCATGGAGATAGAGTAGACTGAGCTGTGTCGTTCACACAACACAATAAACTCGGACATTTCTCGCGGCAACGAGGCGAACAGCATCTGCATGCAGTTGAGGGTGCTGGTTTCAGGCTGCAAGATGCAAGAGATGCGTGAGGTTGCAAGTCCGTGTTGTTTATATTATTGTAAACGGCTACTTATTTGATTTAGGTAGGCATGGTTGGGAACTTGAAAAAGGCGAGTGCGCGTGTGGTTACGTAAAATCGGTTTACGTCGGGTGAGAGGGAGTTCTTTGCTATGCATGGAAAAACGCAATACTTACCGTCTTGTCATCCAAGCCAAAGAATTTCGTGATGAACGTTTCTTCGCCGTATATCAGCGAACTCAACTGTAGCAGAATTCTTTCGAATAACTAGAACAGAGGAGAACAATGGATTATAGTATCAGTAGCATAGAGACTGTATATCCTATAAATACTGCAACTCTGTGTATGAACTACCCGTCTCTGCTACTGCCTCTGAGGATGGATCCGCGGCAGATTTCGAAACGTCAGGCGAATAAAATTCTGGCCCCGGCGATCGCATCTGCTTCTTATCAACAGCGGATCAATTAAATGCCCGTGGAGTGGGCGCATACCGCTTCCCCGAAGCGAACAACCTCTCGCAGAGATCACAAGCACACTAGCAGGCCGAAATCAGAGAGCGGGAGGGCAGGAAATGCGGGTGGATAGATACGGTCGGTTTCAGACTTACTCTACCTTCATTCCGCCAATCATAACCCTGACTACCAGCTGGGACCCGAAACACGAAGATGTGCTCGAGGACGGTACAGATAGCTCCCAGACAGTTAGGCCATTGGCACTTCGCTTCTGCGCTACGTTAGCTGTGTTCTGGCCGTAGTCAAGTCAAGCTGATTATGGGGAATATAGGTCGGCAAAAGTGGCTTATGTAGGCCCACTCATATACCCCTAGTCCCAGTACTTTGTCCTGCAAAAACGGTGGATATAGAGTTTTGGGGGCTGGGGAAATAGGATAGGCAGAGAAGGAAATTTTTAGAAATAAGTGGAAAGTGGAAAAAACGTAGTCGAAGTTGCTTCCCGCGACCGCTGGAAGTAAGTTGTTCCGCATGTAAATTGAAGGTTTGCGCGGCGCTTAGCGCCGCCGAGTATACTAATCCAACTCCAGAACGGTAAGTTGGACCTCAGATAAGTTAGTGTAGACGACCTCCTAACCACCATTTCAATTTTTCGGGAAATTCAAGAAACCTGCATTTTGATAATCGAGTTTTTCCGCAATAATTTAAACGATAATACAGATTAGGCAAATCTACAGATATAAATCAACAACACTTCTAAATACAGTAAATTTAAAAATGCATTTAGCATTTATTAAAGTATATTCTACTGCGTGTCCCAATTTCCCGCCCATAAAACCCGATAAACACCGTTTTCGTACGAAAACATGCAGGTTGTAGGGATTATTGATTCGGCCTACATAAACTACTGTAGGTCAAAGCCATTGGACTCCCCGTTGGTACACAGTTGTTAATAAATGTATCGGCACAGCCGAACATTTCAAAAGAGGTCGTTTACATGCCTGTAGGCGACTGCTCACTTGTTCCAATTAATACAATTACATATGGTGATGTCAGTTAACACGAGCCAGCAGGTGTAACTGAGCAAAAATAGCATACTGTGAAAAAAAACTAAAAGTTATAATTGTAGAGACGAGGGAAGACAGAACAAAAACAGTCTGTTTCGGGCTTATTCTGTTTTCTGTCTGGGAAGCACAAAGATGCGCTCGAATAGCGTGCATATAGTCCACAAACACTGGGTCTATCAGGTGAGTCATAAGCGCTTCATTGAATCGAAGTTCTTCAATACCTCGCCACCTTCTATCCGCTGTTGCTGCAGATCGGGTATATGTTCACTCGGGAATGGAGGCAAACCGATATAACTGACTCCCTGTCCCAGATTGGTGAGCTTCACACTATCATCATATTTTCGATCGCAACCGGCAAAAACAACGGGCCCGTGACTCAATCGTAGTGTTACACTCCATGACCAAAAGGTCGCGCGCTCGAATCTCGAGTACGCCACAACCGGATGACGACTTATAATCAAGAAACGGTCATTCCAGTCTCCCTTGTCTTCGTCATATCCAGCAAGTCGCTATGCAACTGCATCCGAGGATTCTAATATGAGCTCCAATGTACAACGAAGCTCGTTAAAAACCCGCATCCTATCATGACTGAAATAACTCGACTACACGATAATCAGTATCACAACCTGAGTCAATGCCGATTAGCGAAAGAATAACAATCTTTTGCATATACCGGCATGTTGCACGAATTCTGGCACGTACTGTACATATATAAAAAGTGGAACAGACAAAGACAAGGGTGACCGGAATGGCCATTTCTGGTGTATTAACCGTCGTCAGCCAGTCATATCCAATTCCGGATGTGGATTACCCGAGATTCGAACCCGCGAACCTTTGGTCTTGGGGTGTAACACTATCGTTGAGACACCGGCCCTGTGTTTTATTGGTTGCGATTGGGAATAGGATGGGTGACAGGGCGCTCACAGATCTGGTTAGTTAATAATGGTAGTGTTGCACTCCAAGACCAAAGGTCGCGGGTTCGAATCTCGGGTGCTCCACACTTGGGGTTTTGTATCACTGGCTGATGACGGCTAATAAGCCGAAATTGCCACTCCAGTTTTCCTTGCCTTTATTCGGTGTTCGTTGTTAAGTCCATAAATCGGCCGTTGACTCACAGTCCCTTTGTCTTGTCGGTTGCGCTCGGAAATACTAAACTGTCATGGGCGGAGTTGTTAACCGATCCGGTTTAAGGGACATGTTCATCCTTCTGCACAAATGTGTGAGTCAACTAAATGTTCCTTCGTCAGAACAGATTGAACAAACGTGAAACGAAAAGCCTGATACCAGACTTACTTATGCGCAGAAAATATGATAAGATTGACACCGCGCTATCACAGGCCGAGCTTAGGCTGACCTAAGTCAACCAATCGTAACTCCATCCATCACTAGTCTGCTGCACATTTGTGCAACGCTAGTTAGCAGTTTTGGAACTTTGCTCTGTGAAGTAAGGAGAACTTTTTGCTTACCGGTTTGAACTGATTGAGTACGTTTCCAGAAGCCAGAGATAGCAAATTCCCGAATTCGACTTCGGGCTTTGCTCCGTCGTCTGTTTCACAATAAAACAAAAACAAATTGGCTAGTAGCATGTAATAAAACTTGCTTACTATTACTAAATAAGTAGGTAGTTATGCAGTGTATAAACTATTGCTACCCTCGACTACTTTGTCTAGCGCTTTCCTGTGCGGGTTTCACGGGGACCCGATAGGAGAGTAAGCAAGTGAACGTACGTTTTGAGGACTTCGATAATCCGGCGATCGAACGCGAACCGTTCTGAAAGATTTCGTGGACAGTTCGGCTGAAGAAGATTTGCATCTTATCGATGTAGAGCTAAAATGCGGAGGGAAAAGGCAGTCGATAAGAGTGCTTTCTCTACATAATTATA